CATCTTACAACAGTTCTAATGTCCTAAACCTTTCCAACTAAATCTTCAAGGTCCTTAACCGAAGTAAATGTAATGTAAAGCTTCACAGTCAATTTAGGTCATCTTGGCTGAAATATTATGGATTTTCTGCTGGATGTGACCCATGTCTGCACAGGAAGTGGAGAAACCACTAAACTGACCTATCAGGAAACCACCTATGAGTGTCGTTGTTAAAATTCTTAAACTTAATAACTTCACTGAAAAAACATTTTTTTATTGATTATTTCTGATTATAAGTCACTCTGCGTTTTTCATGCAGGCTGAACATGAAAATAGTCTCCTACACCTATCTGCTGCATCAGCTTCTGATAGAAAATTGACGGTGAAACTCTAGGATTAGAAAATCCTCACAGGTCTACGTCACACTGTCACCTAACATTCATGGACTCACCCATTTTGGCTTGAGATGGGGAAGGCTGTGAGTTTTTTCATGAGTTTTGAAGAGATGCCCACATTTTAACAAATAAGACTCTAACACCTGTCATGATCAACTCAACTGTGATTTGGTCACTTCTAGTTCGTTAAACAGGTGCACCGGAGCTTTTATTCCCCAGAGTATGACTTACAAGGCATTCATTCCTGCTAGAGATCACTGCAAATGTATTAAAAATATGAGTAAAAATTGATCTTTAGCTTTAACACAGAACACACTTAGAAATGACCTTAAATAGAATCGCTCTAATGATCCTGAAGACATATTTCTCATCGTCACATGGTCTGAGAGGGCGTTTTAGGAGAAGTAACCAGTGTGAATCTGATTTATTACTAGTTACAATGAGATGTTATTTAAGTTATTTTAGTTATTTATACCAGTTGAAACAAGGTTTGAATGCATTTCCTCGGATGGTAATCTCTAAGATGTCGTGGTAGAGACTCTGGGTTCAGGGACTCAGAGCCCCTAGCAGAGTGTTGGTCTGGATAAGTCAGCTTTCTTTGTGATCAATTACTGGGGAGGAATTATTTGGTGTTAAGACATTTCAAAGAAGCTCACCCACAGTGACGTCTGAGGTTTTTCCAATAAAATAACAAACAAACAAGGCAAGTCATTATGCTATTTAAGTAAGATTTGTTTTTTTCTCTGAAACTGAACTGAGTCTGCAGAGGTGTAACCGGCAGAAGTAGTTTTCTTTATATATGACACAAACCTGTATCTGTGAGAGACCCGATGCCTGTGATGAAGATATTCTGGCTAGAGCTGCTGGTTCACCTCTCCCCTCACTGTGAGCCGGATGAAGGGAAGTGGTTCGGCTTCAGGGGTTAATGTCCACTGGGGCAGGCTTACTGGCCCAAACAACTTCCTCCTGATTTGAGAGGAGTAATTATCCTCCTCCCTTTTGAATCCCCCCCATGAAGATCAACCAGGTCACCATACACAACGTTTCCCCCTTCAACAACATATTTAAGGCCCCAGAAATCACAACACACGCTATGCTGCAGGTTAGAAGGGGACAGGAGAGGATTAGCACCAATCAACAGCTCGATGAATGTTAGCCTCCACGCTCCTGCCACCTCCCACCAGCTCCACTGAGACTCCCTAAGGGGCTAGAACATGTCTCTTCCTGTCCCGAGACACAGGAGTGGGGAGTGTGATAGCGCGACTGGCGCCTCACACCCATACACACACACTCACACACTAATAGTCAGCTAACACACAAGTCAGCAGGAGGTTTGCTCTGCTCTGCTTTGGTGTGTCTGCAAACACACCAGGGTTTGGGTCGTTTGAACCCAAGAGGGCAACACACCTGCAGCCCGTGCGTGGTTGCAGCTGACTCATGCACTTATTACAAGTGCTCCGCATGTGTTGGCAAACGATCCGCTAAATGAATTCAGATGTAATTTGCTTTAAATAAGACCCCACGTTAATCGTTTTTAATAAAGACTCATAAAAATGCCCCTTCTAGCATCACCCACGTACCAAGGTACTTCTTGGAGCACGTCCCGCATTTACGACCATTTTGATAACATCTTCCATCCACTCTCTGTACTATCACTTTTTATAATTCTCCAATGTGTGCTTCATAACAGTGTGGAAACCTTAATAGAAGGTTTTAAATTAAAAAATGTATTTCATCCTGTCAGGGTTTGATAAGGTGACAGATGGGTCCTAATATCCGCTGTTTGGTCCCAACAATATTTACTGTTTATTATAGCAATTGAAAGAGTGTATGGGTGGTAATAATCCGTCCCTCTACATTCAAGTCCAATAAATGTCTGATATCGTTCATGTAGACTTGACTGTGGAACAATCCTCTGATCTGCGACATGAGGATGAGAAACCCTTACAATGCGGTGACTTTTGTCCTCGTGTCCTTGACTTAAAGTATCTTTCCGGAGTTTTCCCCTTTCAGAAATGATGTATGATTCGTCAGAAATCTGTAAAAGTGATTGTCTTATCATGTACTGTGATATATTGTAAGCAATACGTCTTTTTTATTTTTTTTTTGCTACGCACGCCCCTGCCCTGCAGAGCTCTGTGCAATAGGAAACTGAGCGCCAACCAGAAATAACCAATAGCGTTAGACTACCGCTTACTTGCTTCAAATTTAAGCAATACCTCGTCTGATGCAGAGTTGATGAACTTTTCACGGACAAGTAAGTCTCTAAAATATAAATACAAGCGAACACAACATGACATGAGAATAATACCCGTAAAACGTGTTTTAGCTCTGTTTGTCGGCTACAGAAGCACATTAATAAACAGAAACGTGAAGTCGCCATCTTAAAAAAATGGAAGGAGTGTGACATGCTTGTCAGATGGCGCCATCGGATAAGAGAAATACTCCGAAAAGAAGCTTTAACTACTGGGGAGTCAGTATTTTATATTAATGATATAAGAAGAGCCAGTAATGGTGATGAACTAACAGAGGAGTAATAACTAAATATTAGGGCTGGGCGATAAATCAAAAATAGATCGTTGTCAAAATTTCTAACTGATTTTGTTTTTTCTATGACAATAAATCTGATAATAAAAAAATACTACCTCGAGTCACATGACGTGACTCAAGGTAGTACACGTGACAGCCCCATCTAGTGGACATCTTTTGTTTTGCGCATACATGTAGTTAACCTCCATTTATCATGTTCGAGGTGCATGCCTCAATATACTGTGATATTGATTTTAGGCCATATTGCCCGGCCCTACTAATTATGTAAGACTACTCAGTTTTTGATATGAGGATCTTCCACCTTTTTGTTTTGACTCTGTTGTCTAACAACGTTTCCTAGCAACACAAAAAAATCACATCAAAAACTCCTAATCCCGTATGTCACTGGGCTACGACTGATGGCAAGAAATTGCGAATGCCATCCTTGAGGGACTTTCCAAACTGTATCAAAGTGAGAACGTGAGAATTCTTGTTTTTCTCGCCAGAGTCGTAGGGACGTCGCCATCGTGTCACTCGAATTTTATATATGATCAAAACTTTTACGTGGCAACTTCCTTTCAAACCAGTAAGAAACTTCATGGAACTCATTCAAGTTTGGATTTTGGAAATCAGAAAGTGCTTGTTTATTTACAAGCTAGCATTAGCATTGCAACATAGAAGAAGAAGAAGAAGAAGAAGAAGAAGAAGAAGAAGAAGAAGAAGAAGAAGAAGAAGAAGAAGAAGAAGAAGAAGAAGAAGAAGAAAGGGGTTGGTTGTAAAGCACCTTTCAAGATAAATATCACAAGCAGAATAAAAATTTCTGCTAGGATCCTTCAAAAAAGTAGTGAGGACTCTTTGTAATATTCATGTGTGCTTAATCATTTATTAATAATCAGTTTGGCAGAAAAATATGTCACTTGTTCTTTAGTTTTCAACACTCATACAATGTTTCTTTAATTTTGTTGATTAATAGCCACCGTGATGAAAGCTTCCCTGGGAGTGAACGTGGTGTTGTAGAAGGTCAAACACTGGTTTCTAAACAGCTGACTCATAGGGTAATGATGGGGAAAGCCTTCAGCGGTAGCACATCTGACCTAAATGTGCTTCGTGTCTTAAAATGAGACCCCAATGAGAATCTGTCCTTGTACATCTGAGTGAAAGAGACTCCAGAACTGCGCTTGAGTGAATCTCCTGAATGACTTTCCCCACCAGCTTTATTTATTCCACCAATCAAAGTGGTTTGTGTTAACATTTTAGTCATATTTGCTGAGCTTTAGCCAGTCTTCCTTATCAAACTGTTGGCATTGGCCCTCAATGTAAATTCTGTTTGACTCGCAGCTTTTGATGCCAGAGATCCGCCGTAACATCTATGAGAAAAGCTCGACCCTCCGTGGCGTGCGGCCTAATATAATGGAGTTCCCCCTTCAGATCTCACCTTTCATCTCTTATGTTGATGGACGGCTGGGGAGTGGCTGAGGTTTCATTGACCCACTTGGCTTTTCACTCCCACATTTAATTCAAACAAGCTAACGTTCTCTGCTGGCGACTTGTGTGTGTTTGATGATACGAGGCTAATTAGCTGGTTAGTTTTGGAGTCAGCTGGATGGAGGTATTTCATGTGAGGTCTGAGGGCAAAAAACAAGGAGCCTAGTTGACGCAACTGCAGTAAAACCCCTCGATTTTCCTCTCGTGAGTTTTGGAATATTTCCGCACCTGTTTACACAAAGTGTCATAACATTTACTGTAATAGTTTTTCTGCTTCTAAACAGTGTATGCCTCCTCAACACAACAGGGTGGTGTGTGTGTGTGTGTGTGTGTGTGTGTGTGTGTGTGTGTGTGTGTGTGTGTGTGTGTGTGAGTGTGTGTGTGTGTGTGTGTGTGTGTGTGTGTGTGTGTGTGTGTGTGTGTGAGTGTGTGTGTGTGTGTGTGTGTGTGTGTGTGTGTGTGTGTGTGTGTGTGTGTGTGTGTGTGTGTGTGTGTGTGTGTGTGTGTGTGTGTGTGTGTGTGTGTGTGTGTGTGTGTGTGTGTGTGTGTGTGTGTGTGTGTGTGTGTGTGTGTGTGTGTGTGTGTGTGTGTGTGTGTGTGTGTGTTACTCACACATATTTCAACAGAACTGCCTGGACTTCCATCCCTGAGGAGTTCCATCTGCAGGTGGGAGCCAACGAATCTAAGAACATAAAAATGAATAAATAAAACATTGAAATTGCACTTAATGAGGAATTCAGTAAAAAACAAAAATTTAAACAAAGTTATTTTTATTTAAAGTTATTTAAATACTAAATTTATTAAAGTTATTATTACTTAAACTGTATATTCCTGAATTCTTTTTTTATCTGTTTTAGTGACTGTGCTTTATTACTGGTTTTTATGCTGTTCATCACTTTGGTCGACTCCAGCGCTGTTCTAAAATGTGCTTTATAAATAAACTCGGATTGGAAATAAAACTGTAGAAAATTCAAACACAACTAATGTCCAGCTAGATTAGGTCTTATCTCACACACTTAAATGCAGTAGTCATTGTCTATCACACTAAACATTAAAAGCATGTAAAATCACATCTCTTTTAATTGAAAGTCAAAGGACTTCTTGTTTTCCAGTGATCAGTTTATTTTGAAACCTCTAAGTAGCTGACATTAACTTATGATCTAAAAGCTTCTGCTAACGCCGGCGACGCCGGCTGATTAACTGTGGAGCCGGGAAGGTGAGCTCAAGTAACATGATTTATATGTGATACCTCGCCCCTACACACACACACATACACACACACACACAGTCCTCACGTCACAATCTACTCCTGGTCAGAAGAAGATGAAGCTACCCAATGCTGACCACAATCCCCCTAGTGAAATCACAGAGACGGCTTCTCTTTCTGACAGCGTTAGCGCACATATCACAGGAATATCAATCAATCAATCAAAGCTTTATTTATAATAAAGAATATGGAAAAATGCCAGCCAGGCAGATTCAATTTGCACTCATTTTAAATTCTGACATCATTTGAGCCTCTAAGAGAGACTCTTGCTAGGCGGGAAGGGCTTTCCACCTGAATAACACCAAATCAGCATTAAACATATTTAATATACACTCTGGCAGATGTTAATGGTGTTAGATGACTGCATACTCGGATTAAAACCAGCTTAAAAATCATCTGAGGCAAACGGGATTCATGAGGAGAATTCCAGGGGATCAATAACAAATTCTCATGTGATCTTCTGGCTTAGCTGCTGAGATTAGAAGACCTTGGTTAAACTGAACCGTGTTTTGCTAAAAGAAAAAGAAAAAGAGAAGAGGGGATTTACTTAATGAGATAGATGGTGGTAAAATGATGACGCAAACCTTCCTAAATGTTGGAGTTTTAACATGTGGAGCAACCGTTGTGAGATAGGAACCTTTTAACTAATTGGCATAATGAACTGATGAGCAGTGGCGGCTCACCTATAGGGGGCGCTACGGCGCCACCCCACCAGTTTCACAGGAAGAGGAAGAAGACAGTAATCACAAAATATAATAAGGACATGAAAATTAAACTAAACGATCCCTACATCATACAGACTATAAGTGCTGTGTTTCATCTGCATTGAAGTAGTTTAACAATTATTTACACCTTGACCACCACCGAATCATCTTGTGACCTATTTCTTGTTCCTTTTGGGCACAGCAATCTACACAATAACTAGCATATGCACACTGGATTTCCCCCTCCAATGCAAAGAATAGGAGAGCCTTTGGGCGCAGGGGTACAGCGTCCATGAAGACACGCACAGAAGACCGGCAGGGCAGAGTCTCAGCTCAGATCAGGACAGAACCGGAAATTCTCCACAGTTCACCGTCCTTGTAGAGCAGCTGAGTACACCTCGTGGAGTTTTGTTATTATGAGGAACCAGAAAATGATGGAATGAGGCATCAGAGAGTTATAAAATCTTTCCAGCGGGTAAAAAAAAAAGCACATTCACCTGCTCTGTGTGATGTTGGGACATTGGATTACAGAATCAAGTAGTTTTTTTTTACTATACCACAGATTATTATGGCCAAAAATCAGCAAACGTGAGACAGAATTTACGCTCTTAACTTCATGAGATTAGCTTAGTTTGTTTTGCTGCTGAGTTCCGGGACTGTTGCAGGTAGAGTGATGGTGCTTATATTGTTGCAAAGAGGAGAAACTGGGCTTTAATTTAAATGGCTGCTTCTGAGGACAGGATCATGTCTTATTGTTGCTACTGTGCGTTTTTCTCAATATGTGTATTTAGCTTCTTTTCAGCCTTCCTTTTTATTGTCATTGCTGAGGTAGAAAACATGGAATCTATCATAAGAATGGTAAACCGGCATCCCCTAGTGGTGATATGTGGATATCGCATCTAACAGACGGCATTACTGTGCCACACCCAAAATAAAATTCAGCCGCCACTGCTGATTATGTTCAATTGGAATGTTTACTTCACAAAGTGCCTTGATGGCGCTATATAAATTACTGAATTGAATCTGTAGCTGTGTTTCTAGATTATGAGGTGCGAATAAGTAACTATTAGATTTAGTTGGATTACTATTTTATTTTATGAATTGAATTAAAAAACATTTACAACAAGTTAGTTTTTTAGAATTGGGTTTACATTATGTTTTAAAAGTACTGTTTAATTTCTTCTAAAAATCTTAAAATTGTTCCTTGTTAGGGCTCTAAAAGGCTTTTTTATCTCAAGGGGCAGTCATTTTTTCAAATACACGAAGCCAACGCGGAAGTGACAAATACTGCAGTTCAACCCTCATCTGGTAGGGGCTGGAACAAAAACAGAGAAATCCTCATTGACTCCCATGTTAAAAATGCCAACTTCACAGCAGAAATAAACATGTTTACCGCCTGGTTCATAAACCCATTTTAGGTTTAATAGATCCAGTTTACACTCATGGGTGAATTTTTTTGTCACTCTTCCATTTTAGGTGTAATTAAATGCTTGAAATTATAAATAATTACATTTGATTGACAGGTAGCGTGAGCATCAGAGCTAGCGCATAGCACTGTTTGGTCAAAGATGGGTTGAACTGTAACGTGTTGTTGAGGCTGGCTGGGTAACGAAACTTGAGCCAGGTAAGCTGACCGAGGCTAGCTAGCGGAGGCTTCCGCGCTTCGCTGGTTACACCATGGTCAAAGATCTGCTAGGTCGCCGCTGCAGAAGAGGTTTGCTGAGTTTCAGTAACATGCCCATCTCTTTAAAAGTGACGGACCGACAATCAGAGATCTGATAATCTGTTGTTCCATCCTCCCGGAGACAGCCCAACAGGGAGGGTACCCGGCTTCTCCAATATCCTGGCTGTTCCTGTCTCCTGAGGGAGCTAAGCCGTGCTGCCACCTGGCTTTCTGGCATCCTCTACTGATCGCAGATAAACAGCGAGGGAAGTGACACCTACAACATAACGTAGGCGAAAATAAAAACAAAGCTTTGCTACTCTGTGTAGATAAGAACCAAAAATAATGGAACGGGATCAGAGGGCTGACTGGGTGGTGGTGAAGGAGCAGCGACGGCTGGTAATGGGGAACAGGTGGTGTTGGTTACCTGAGCGTGGAGCGAGGAGGGGTAGGTGAAAGCGGGTGGAAGGGCTGGCGACAGCTCTGCCGGGTACAGCGGGTATGACGCCCACACATCTGGGCTGCTGGGATATAGAGCAGGCACTGTGAGCTCATCTGTGGAAAGAAGAGGAGTGGAGTGAGGAGAGTGGCAAGTGAATGGGTGGGTGGATAGAGAGGCAGGGTGGAGGTGGCAGTGATGGTGGTGATTGTGGAGGTGCGCACTGGGAGGGACTATTAAGTATCTGAAGTTGAATCCTCTTATCGTGATTCTTTAAACCAAAGCCCAAAAATGTCTGATCAGCTGACAGCAAGCCTGTAAAGATTCCTGCTCATGTTTCCCTCATTGTCTTTTTACGATAAAAGCATTAAAGTCATGATAAAGATGAGTAAAAACATTTAGCTGAAGAAGCTAAAACATCCTGCCTTTCCCAATAGAGTACTGCTCTGAAGCCCAAACCAGTTTCCTGTAAGCCCATGTCCCCACACACACACACCAGTAGTGCAGGGAGAGCTACCCTCCAGTAAACCCAGTTAGGAAAAGCTGTGTGACCTTGTATTTTCCAGAGATAAATATCAAAGAAAAATAAACTATTTTTTGTAATTATTGTTAACAAAATATAAAGAAGTAGGAATGTTTAGTATATTGTTATGATATCCATGCATAATGTGTGTATGATACAATAAGATAAGCTATTTAATATCACCAAAACATAAATATGTTGCTATGTTTGGACTATCTTAAATTTGTTGTAAAATGTATGCCCTGAATTTAACCGCTGGTCTACTTTAGAGTCTGTAGCTCATAGGATGAATAAAAGACTTTACAATAATTATTGTTAGAAATTTGCTTAAAGTGTTCATTTTAATCTTTTGCTTTCCAAAATTAAGCTAGGTGCTGTGACCGGTGTGTTTGCACCTCCAGTTACACCCAGCTGAGATGGTTGTCATGGTTACACAGCAGTACTGCAACTTACCTAGATGGGGATACTGATCAAAAATTTGTTAGACCATTAAAATACTTTTAAACTAGAGTTAGCTAATGATGCTAGCAATAACTTGGTGGCTTGCAACTGCTGTGGTTGGATAGCCTAGCGCTCTAGACAAACTGTAGCGACAACAAAAACTTTTGCTCAGCAGGATGGTTTGGCCACGCTCCATTGTAGCTTCAGCAAGCCTACCATTGGCTTGGTGTAGTGTAGATTCGGCCAATCACAACACTCTACAGCTTAGATGACCACTGCCCAGCAACGGTGCTCATTTGAAATGGCTTTGGCATCAACTTTGTATGATTTAGACTTGGGTTCCTTTTTGAGACATGAGCAGAAATATATTTCTTCTTCTCCTACGGTGTATGGCGGACGGCCTCGTTGTCTGATTTATGCTGCTATGAATCCATCATGTTGTTTGTTGCTCTGATTGGTCCTAGCGCTGTCCAATTGCATGCAGACAGTTTGAAAGAAAACAGTAGTTTCTGCCCCATGACTGAGCTGCATATGGGTCATGGCCATACTATACATTTACAAATATAGTACAGCTTGCCAAGCTAGTATTTGGATGGCTATTGAGTCAAATTAAAAGCTTACTTCAGTCTGACTTGTAATTTCCCAAATTTCTTCAATCTTTGTTGGAAAAAACATCTTTGTGACTCTAATTTGCTTACCTTCAACGCATTAACTGAAAGCTTTACAGGCTAGCAGCAGCAGTTAAGAGAATAGCGGGTTACTAATGAGAGGAAACCACCTCAGATTTGATTTGTTCACAAAGTGACTGTGAAATAAAATAAAGTGCTCAAGTGAGGAGATGGTGCTGTGCGCTACAGAGGGAGTGCATACTTAAAAATGCAGAATCAGACAGAAAAATTGCAGATAGCCGTACAATTTTAAGGCGCATTTCTCTGTGCTTTCCATGTCTCCTGGTGACTCTATCAAAGCATGATCACAAAAAATAGGGCTGATTAAAACATCTCTTATTAGAAAATAACAGAAATGTCTCTCCTGGTGATTACGTCATGGTTTCATTAATCGTTTCCTTCCATTTTCCTCTGAGGCACCAAGTACCACCCCCTTCTCTGGCAAAGGAAAGATCCAAGATAAGAGTGGTTGGGTCATTCAGGAAGAATGTACTATTACAGCTGGTGGATGTTTAACTATCAGTGAATGATTCCTGCAAGATCCTTAACACCCCTCTGAAAAATGTTTAACCAACTGGAAAAGAAACAGACACAGAGCTGCATTAACAAGTCACGCACACACACCTGGTACTCAAGGGCCTTGAGTCCAAATCATTAGAACAAAAGTTAACAATGAACATGCACTGTTAAAAAGTCCCTAGGCAAGCAGGCACAGCAAAACACAGGACTCCTAAGTTTTCAAACAAATGATAAAAGTTTGGAGAGAGTTCACTTTTGCAACAAATCAACAAAAATGTAACAAACATGGCTGAAAATGTTCCGTTATCAAAAAAAAAAAAAAAACTAAAAAAATCCAAGATTAGAAAAAATAAAGAAAAGTCACAACCAAGATAGAAATTGTGTCTATTTCTGACAAAGTCCTGAAGGGAAGCAGCTGTTGTGTCCAGTTGAGCCTGAGGAAGCAGACAGAGTCAAAGACAGTCAGGGACAGCAGGATGAATGATAGAGGCACTTACATGGGTCTCTGCTAATGAACTGTGGCCCAGGGCTCTGCTGGGAGGCAGGGGGGTTGGGAGTGCCGACCAGCTTGTTCTTAGCCATCTTAGTGTTGGCCTTGGCAAACTCCAGCCGCAGGGTTTGGGGGATCTCAGGATCGAAACGAACCCCCTGAGATCCAGAGATGTGTTAGCAACTCTTAAAAACTCCTTTACTTCACAGCAGATCAGACGCAACATTAATAGTGAGCAAACAGAGTTAAAGTGTCTCATATCAGAGAAATATTTCAGTTTGGAGTCTGTAACGTATTTCTAAAGCTATGTTTAGTGTTTTTTTTTTAGACAATTATCAAACTCTTACAAACTTCATTAAGTCCTGACTATCTTTTTAGACCCACCCTTGATAATAAAAGACGGTACAGGTTCTCGCTGCATTCCTAAGGTTTCTATGGATGTTTTAAACTTTACACCACCTTTCCTAGTATTAACCAAAGGCCTGGCATTCCTTGAAGACTGCATATGAGCCACGTTGTATGGTGGAAGGTCTGTTATTACTTGAGATTTCTTAAAGAGTGTGTTTATTTGTGTCTAATTGATTCTTGGCTTCCAACACATCGAAAATTAGTCCAAAATCTGTTTGGTTCACAGAGGAGTAGCCAAATTGAAGGCTGTGTTTGAAGGTCAATTATATCACAGAGATGGGATGACTGTCCTCCACTTTCGAAGGCGCCTCCAAATGATACCCACAAACATGTCCTATATGTTGTATTTGAAGGATAGATTTGGTGTATCATTCATGACCCACCCTATTCCAAGATTCATTAAAAGCCGAACAAGACATTTTTTTCTTGTAATAATTGTGAACAACGCCATTTTAAATGCAAGTCTAATGAATTAAGCTTAAGGGTATCTGTTGTGCCATTTGTTGTCCTAATTTTCTTTGTTGTACTAAAGGAGGACTCCCTCGAAAACGAGATGTCTCATCTCAAGGGAATTTATCCTCCAAAAACACAAGTTAGATAAATAAAAATAGTGGCAACAGTGGTATATAAGGTAGATGCCATTGCTCATTGATGGTTGATAAGTAATAAAAATGCTCAGCAAAATTTGGAGCTCCATTTTCTCTAGCTTCTGTTTCATGCTGTCTAGGGCTGCAGCTATCGAATATTTTAGTATTCTAATCGAATCCTCCATCGATGAATCAAATATTCTATTTGATGAAGTTCCAAGTTAAATGAGACTGTACTCTGCTGCTAAAAATATGAAAATAAAACAAAATTATAAAAGGATCAACAATATGTATTAAATTGGTGTTGTCTAGTTCCCTCTTCCCCAGCTGATATTTATAGTTAATGAATATTTTATGGAACAAAATTTGACTTATTTTTCGGTAAAGGTTGACTGTGGAACACGGACAATCTGGCAAACTCTGGTGTTCAGAGGTGGTATTGTAACAACAGGACAAATTTTCCAGCCATTGGGATGTTGTAGCGAAGCGTCGATGGCGTCAACGGCTCGATTCTAAAAATGTGTCGACATCAGATCCGGTAGTCGACGCACCACGCCCACTTGTTGCATCCCCAGGAGTTTGTAAATAGAGAAGGAATCTGCCTGTTTTCCCTCTCGTTCACTCTCTTCTTCGCCTTCACTAACATCTCCACCAAATACCGAAGACCCGGAACAATGTCCGTCCGCTACTAGATTCCTTTCTTGTTTAGCCCACCTTCGTCTCCCGGCAACGGACAACAACTTCTGGGGTTAGATGCGCTGCTCAGTCTCTACCGCAGATGTAGAAAATCACTGGGAGCGTTTCTCCCTTCATAAAGGAGCTTGTTTCAGACATTAGGAGAGCTGTTTTGGTGGTAGCAGTCTCTCCTACGTGCTGGCCTGTTTGCTGCTGGGTGTTTTTGGTTTATTGAAACTTGATAACTTGAACTTAATGTTGGTAAAGCCACTGTTAGCATTTTCGCTAACAGCTTCTTGCGTTTGGATAAGATGTTACGTTTTGGTTTAGAGTTCATCTTTTTTGTGGCGTAGATCTCCCTTTTGTTACATTTAGAGTGTTGTGGGTTTTTGGTTTAGTTTAAAATATCACCTTGAGTTTGGTTTAACCACCCAGTTTAGAGTTTGGACCTTTGGAGATCCTTATTTTGGTCCAGAACCCAGTAATCTTTGCCCAGTGGGACATCCCTAGTTATTTGTACTTTTGTTTCAATTCCCCACAGGCAGAATTAGTTTTATTATTCCCAACCTGTGGATGGAAAGATTTATGTTTTTTTGTTGTTGTAAATAAAACTGAGCATCATTTAAATCCCGTGTTATTGTCCCTTACTTTTTGCACACGAGCCAAACTCCCCAGGAAGGGTTGTAACACCACTCGCCTCATGCACATAAGTGACCAAAACAAAGCAGCATGGAGACACTCCGTCTCCAACCACCTCTCAGGCAGCAGCATGCACTCCCGAGTTCTACACGTCACCAGAACATAACCAACCAACACAATAAAAGCAGTGTTATACAAAATGGCTGGTAGATGTAAAGATAAACAGTGTTGTGCCTGACAAAATAAAAATTTGATAATTTATCTTTTTAAATATAGCTTTCAAAGGAGAAACTGTACATCCATTCTGCACACCTCTGAACGACCCGCAGAGGTATAATTTATTTTAATAAATATAGCTTTTTATTAAAATGTTCCATATTGTATAAATATTACTCATCCTAGACTAAACATAACTAAATATGTCCACATATGATCAGTTGAATTGAATTATTTCATTACCATGAGCTTGGCACACTTGGCATCTAACATTTAATTTCTACTAGTAACAATGTAATGATGGCATATATATTTTATTATGTACAGGTTGGCAACATAATCCAGTCTAAATTGTATTAAAATAGCGTTTGTGAGTCGCATGCTACAACGGCTTGCCACAGGTCTGCTGCAGTGTGTGGACTAGGTGACAGGACATATGCCAAGGGAAGGGTGGGAACAAATCTGAAGCCAAGACTGATTTATTTCAAAGCCATTCACTCCTCAGGCGAGGAGGGTTAAGTGTCTTGCCCAAAAACACAACAGCAGCATTCTCTTGTCAGAGCCGGGATCAAACCTGCAACCTTCTGATTACTGGACAACCCGCTCTACCTCCTGAGCTACTGCTGTCTCGTCTTGGCTCAGTACCTGTGTATCTGACCAAGTTGTAGATATTTTGTGTCAGTCAGCTGTGATGACCATCTTGATTTGGGGTGACTCCCAAATTTCCAAATCTCACATTATGATAGTTTCATTAAAATGGATCGAATAGTTAGAGATAAACAGAAGTCAAGTCCAATGACAAATGGGTGGCTCCAATGGCAAAGCTTTAAACAAACATCTCATTGGATCAGTTAGCCTTTAGAGTATGTCTCTGAGCTTATAATGCATCAAATTTCAGCTCAATTTCTTTCAAACTGATATCCTTCAATACGTTTTTGCATTTTTGAAAAAATTCCTTACCAAGGGTGGGTCACAAGGTATCTTGCTAACAAACATACAATGACAGACCTACATATTTTCTGATGACTAAAGTAAGAAAGATTCATAAAATTAAACACCGGTCTTCTCCAGAAAAAAAATTCAGAAATGTTAGAGATGCAGCCAAAAAATAAAAACAATGCCTATTACTTTACAATATTTTACATGTTTTCAACATATGCAAGCAGATTTTATTCTGTATTGATGCATGTTTGAAGTTTGGGTGAATTTTTTCTTTCATGTCTGAAGATTTCAGCTGTTTAATGTGCACATATTTTCTCACAGTTGAAACCTAATGAACCCAAACTGGAGTTCTTGTAGAGATCTTTTGCTTTTCTGGAAGACTGCTGAAAGCAACTCTGTTGAGTGAGATTAGGGTTAACCACATAAATGCTCCTAACGATGTTAAAAATTAGACCAGTGTTACTCTGCTTTCACAACCAGGCTCAAAAACAGCCAGACTGAATATGTTTGCACCTAAAACCATTACACAAAAGAAAAGAGGCTCTTCTGAAAAAGCTAGTCTTGTGTTTGATGTGGTAATGAAGCGTACTAATTTAGAATAATGCATCTCTTCCTTTTCGTCATGCATAGTTTAGACATCCAGTAAGATTTGGTTCATGTCAGTGAATGACACTTTTTAATCTTTCACAAATTTCACAATAAACTTTACAGCTCATATCTTGGTTTGGGTTTTGAAACTCGCAGTAAAAACAGCTACCTAGCCACACATCTGATTTACAATCAGAACCTGATGACAAAGACTCGACAGCCTTAAAACAGGCCGATGACATACATGGACATCCTTCATTAAATTCCCACTTTTGTTATGACACGTAACCAAGATTGCTGCTGAAAGGGAGGCTAAATTTAGGGCTAAGACTTGACCAATGACAGCCAGGTGCCTCTGCAGGTTTCCCTCTTAAATCTGCTTCAAAAAACTCCTTGTGAGTTGTTTCTTCTCTCATCGGCTGCCTCTTGAGGTATAATGTGGCACAAACTGAAAGTTGATTTTTGTTTACTTCCCTTGGAAGCAACAAGGTAGGGTTAGGATTTCAGCAGCATATAAACGTCCATTAATTAACCTAATTTTATTGCGTGTGAAAGACGCAGAGCAGCGCAAGGGTCAAATGAGCCGAGGAGAAACAGAAGTCGGGAGTGAAGTCCTCTGCAGCAAAAAGAGCAAGAAGCTGTGAGGATGGGCTTCTCATCTCGTCCCTACAGGCTTGAGCAAAGCCGAGCGAAGACTCTTCTCATGAAAGGGGGGGGGGGGGGGGGGGGGGGGGGAATTAACTAGGATTGCTTTCGCTCAGTGCACTGCGGCTTCTGAAGGCAGAAGCTGCAGAGGTGTATAATAAGCTACACGGATATAACAAGGCCTAAGCATTCTTTTGTTTGAACTGTGCTGAAGAGCCAACCTTGAGTGTATCTCAGCTTCTGCAGTGATCACGCTGCAGCGGCGTTGTTGGTAAGCATATTGTAATTTAGAGGAAATGCAACGGGTTCCCATGATATGAAGCAACCACCCCCCACCCCATCCCTCTGTCTCTCTAGGGTTTTCCAAAATCTAAATATGCAGATAGAAAACCTAGCTCATCTGCATACAACCCCTTAGGACATAGCTCTTCCTAAAAAAAAAAAAACTTCTAAACTCCGAGTCCCACTTCTGTGGAAACAGTGTGACTGCTGTTGCTTCATAAAACAATGCTAATTTTTATTGTTTGTGCTCTGCCTTTTGCTATGCACCACTGGGTCTTCATGTGAACAGCACCAGACTCCTACATGTAAATAACACGGTTCTTGTTTTCACTTCAGAAGAAGCTTGTGAAGGTCCATTAACTGCAAAATCTCTGGAAGTTTGAAGGGTGCCTATGGGTTTTATGGAGGGGATATGAGTTCAAAACTATTGTCATTTACAGTTCTGAGGACAAAGGTGAGAACTCAGTAATCAATCCTTATCAGTCATGTGACATGACCCCCATCACCCTCTTAGATGGTGGGTGGATGTAAACAAACTGTGGGAAACCAGTAAACGCTATATTTAGGGATGGGTACCTTTGACATTTGAATCGATCCGGTACTAATTCCCGGTACCTACGAATCGATACCGGTACTTAACGGTACCAATTTTCTATACTTTTGAGTGTTTATTATTTTAATTCTCTTTTATAGTTAAATATATATTTTTCTCAATATATAGCCATATTTGATAAATATCACGATAAATAACATACAACTGGTTGTATTTTAACATCGTCCTTGTAGTTTTATAAGCTGATAATTAAACTGAAGCTGATAATTAAACTGAAGCAAACATCTTTACTGTGAACTAAATTTACTGTGTATCTTCGGAGACTGACCAGGAGACATGACATCCTGGTCCTCTCAGCTGTTGTGTCTCCATACAAATTCAGTTCTTTCAGGACTTTGCTAAGATGTCAGCATATTGTGACTGCTTCGGCAGTGAGTGATGTAATTGACCAGCACCAAAAAGCATTCACAGTAGCATTAAAAGTTTTACTTTGTTCGGCATTTTAATCCATTTTGAGGACTGGGAGAGCTGTTGTGTGATGTAAAATGTGGTGTTCAATGGCCAAAAGTAGCTCCGTTTTGCTCAGACAGACAACAAAGCCCTGTGAATTTTGTCGGGGGGAGTTTCTGTTTCAGTGTTAGGAGTTTAGTAACAGCGATTTCAAGGCAATGTGAGCGATGCTTATTTGCTTTGCTTCTATTCTGCTTCATCAGCAACTCTTCCAACTTTACAAATATCGGTTGTTTTGGACGATGTCGGCTCACGGTATTTCCTACTGAGTTACAACCAATCAGTGTGAGTTCACCAAAAGTTCCACTCAGCTGCTCCTGTGGACCTTTCCGAGTACCTACCCCTGTTCAGGGACTCCATTAGTTCCTGAAACCGGTGAGGAAAAAATTCTGTCATGCCAGTAAGTTCTGGCAAAATGAGTAAACACAAGACTACTTCCCCAACTTCTTCTCTTTCACGAACTATTTGGTTTACTGAATAAATGATTACACTTTTGACAGGTTTCGGCACTATGAACCACTCTAAGGCCCTGTCCACACATAGCCGGGGATCTGCCAAAACGTAGATATTTTTCTACGTTTTGGCCTGTCATCCACACGAAAACGGAGTTTTTTCACATGAAAACGGATCTTTTTAAAAACTCCGGCCAAAGCGAAGATCTGAATTTTCTGCGTTTTGGGTGTCTGCGTGTGGACAGACAAAACCGGAGTTTTAAGGTCTTTACAGCAACCTCATACTAAGCAAGCACATAGCCACAGTGGAGAGGAAAACTCCCTTTTAACAGGAAGAAACCTCCAGAGGATCCTGGCTCAGTATAAGCAGCCATCCTCCACGACTCACTGGGAATGGAGAAGACAGAGCAGACACACACACACACACACACACACACACACACACACACACACACACACACACACACACACACACACACACACACACACACACACACACACACACACATGCACAACATATATACCAGAGGATCTTATGAAGCAATACATAATATTTAAGTATTAAAACCATGAATTCAGAACACATTCTAATTCAATTTAGAACAATAGGAAGTTTAAATGTTTCACACGACCCCTTTTCATTTCAAAGAAACATCCCTAAGTCCAAGAACCACAAAGGAATTGTATTTCTTTTTGGTTTAAAAATAATTTTAAGCTTTTTCATAAGTTAACTAAACTCCCTTTATCTACTATAATTGGCCGCGAGTGCACAAAATGCCTTGGCTTTTACGAGTGTGATGTCAGCTGACAGACTTGATTACTGTAGGGTAGCTTGTTGTACAAAATTGTCTGTCTTATGAGGTTAGTGAAAAAAAATCCTAATTTGTATGAAAATTGAAGAAATGCTAAGTGAAATAAGGCAAAACGCCTACAGTCTGATGTTTATAGAAGTTAGAAGAGTTTGTTTGCAAACAATTTTTTATTTTAATTTAAAAAAAAGTCTAAATAAAACTGTGATTGTGTAAAAACAACGAGATAGAGAAAAATGTCCACTTTTAAATGTAGAACCCAACCTTTTGGGACCCATTTAAAGTTTAAATGATGTTTCTTCGGATAAATCCATGTTGTCCTTCGCGTATGGGGAAGTTTCTCCGTTTTTGGTCATTTTTCATACATCATGCAAGTTGCAACACACCACTACCAAAAGTCAAGGTGCATTACTCCTAATAAAAATAATGTTGTCATGTATAATTTGCACTTTATTCTTAAAGGTGAGGGGTGTGAAAATGGCACCCTAACAGAAAAACAATGGGAAAATAAAGGTGTGAAAGCTACTGTTCATTTAGAAAAAGCCAAATAAAACTCTTGAGGATAGGAACTGTTATTAGACTTGGGCCTGCCTACTGTGCCAAGGCCTTCCACCATGCTACAGTTTGAAATAAGTGAGATTAAAATTAAACCCCAGATCAATATCCTCTATTTAGATGTGCAACATGAGCTAATCCCCCCCCCCCCCCCCCCCCCCCCCCCCCCAATAAAACCTTGCAGGCAAAGCTTCACGAAACGTTTGATTTTCTCAAACAGACATATTCACATGATGTACAGTAACATCTCAGCTTTTTTCATTTTCTGCATTGGGATGAACGTGCAGAGATGTCTGAATTTCTCCTGCATTCGAGTGCATTTGCAATGTAAGCAGACAGCCTCAGAGCCATCACAAGATCTGCCGTGTGCTGAGCTGGTGCATGAGAGGAGCAGGAAGAGGGCATGACACTTACGTTCAAGGCATTCTTAGCAGCCTCTGCTTCTGATCGACTGTCAAAGCTGACAAACCCCACCGGCTGGGGAGACAAGGAGACAGAACAAAAGATATGTAAAAAACAAAAAAAAAAAACAAAAAACAGAAAAAACATGGTTTAAGGCAGAAAACTGAGTCTGCATTTCTGTCTGAGTGACAAAGACAAGTTGTTCTTTTTTCTATATTTCGTTTTGTGCTCAACTCCCTCCTTTCCTGTCTCTTCCTCTCTTGTTTATAAAACTGTGGCAACAGAAAGGGGAGATAGAGGGGGCGGGGGGAGAAAAATGCAGGCTGAACTCTTAGTTTGTACAAAGGGAGTTCATTGCTCAGCTCCCCCTTGCCCAAATATGGGCAATGTGAGAGCACGTCTAAGAGTTTAGGAAAAAAAGGCAGAGAAAGATGCAAAAAGTGATGGGATAGAAGAGCAAAAAGAGGCCAAATGAGAAAGGTTAAAGGTGAGGATGGAAGAATAAAAGCTGAGAGGTAGAGGAGGATTTTAAGACCTCCTCGGACAGGCGTGCCGGCACAATATATTCTTGTTCACATCTATTTTACTGGCCCTGGTTTTATATTCTGTTTACAAGGCTTTGGAGCCAACACCTGCCAGAATAACCCAGCATGAGCAAGATGGGGAAATGAAAGGCTGAAGCTATGAGGTGTCATAAAACTGCAGATAGGGACAAAATAAATAAATAAATAAATAAATAAAAACTGCATGTTTTTGTAGCGTTTGTCTTTGTGTTTGTGAATGTGAAAGTCTCTAAACATGCTGCTCCCACTATTTCACAATGATGAAACCAAACTCTGTCCTGGATTATGGGAATTTGTTTTGAATGAATGGATGGATGGGAGGAGGAGAAACACACTTAAAGTAAAACAAGTGAAGACGTCAGGAGGAGGAAGTGTAATGAGAATATAAATAGAAAGAGCTGAAGATCTGGCTGCTGCTGCTATATATGGAGATGGTAGTGAGCTCTTGGACTGAGGGGTGAGGGCAGAAAGGAATCGATTGATTTATGTGGCCATTGTCATTGATGTAAGAACAGAGAAGCAAAACACAGCCCGAGCTCTCGTGGACAGTACTTTGTAACTCCTGGGTTAACAACATCCATTAGCTGACATTTGTCTAGTTCAAAATGGCGTTTATAGAGGAGAAGGTGCTCTCCTTCCTTCTGGAAAAGGCCCTGATGGCTTCTTTAGCTCCAGAGTTCTGCTCTGGTCTTCAACTTTCAAAATGCAGATGCAAAAAGCTTATTTATAAAGAACTAAACTAACATTAGTTAGCACTGGAGAAGTCTAAGCTGGTATTGTAAGGCTGACAACCTGCTATTACAGTAGCTTATACTGTATATGTTATTATATTATATTATAATAATATGTTATGTTAGATTATATCATATTATGTTATAATAAATTGCTTTGGTCACAACCATGTCAAAGCTAACTGAATTAGCCACTTGATGCGTTAGCCCTTCTGTTTTCTATTAGGAATGCTAGTTAATAGCCTCTCCGATGGTAACGCAAATGGAAAGCAGGTGGAGCAGGATACTCAGTTGGTGAGCAGTTAGGTGTACTCGTCACTAGCCTCTTTAATGCTAACACATTTGAGTGGTCTTCTTATAATTTGCCAGCGCCTGCCATGCCGCTCAGTTACTGATTCTATTCCATCATTAATAAGATCAGCAGTGGGCTTCAAAATGTAAATAGCTCCCCGTTACATGGACCTAGTCACAGCTGGGTATGCTAGTCTTTGTTCTGGCCCTAAGACCACACAATTGTCTTAAACAGTAAACCAGAACTAAGAAGTTGCATGTTAGGTTCACCATAACGTCGCTTTGAATATGCTGGTAAAGGTTCTCGGTCTTCCAGGTCATGGTAATACAAAGAGGTTCGAATGAAGGCAACTGGACTTCTTTGGTTTCTTGAAGACATTTTGCCTCACATCCGAGGATCAATATCCATTCTGACCGGAATACAAGCGTGACCCTCCGTTATTCCAGTCAGAATTGACAAAGCTCCTCAGATCAAATGCAAAATGTGTTCAAGAAACCAAAGTCCAGCTTCCTTTATTCAAACCCTTTAGAATCATTTTGAATAACAGCAGCATAAAGATAAATTTCTTATTGCTGCAATAAAAACACTTTAGTTTTAAAGATGGAAGACTGAGGATAATAAATCTAAGTTTCTCTAAACCTTATAAATGAATTTCTTTCTACATGGGAAACTGATACGATAAATAACCCGACACAAAGGTATGACGCTTAACTCGGGATATGGGCGCCTGCCAAATGAGCCAATATTCAGTCTTGAACCCCTGGAGGCAAAAAGAAAAATCCAAACTCTTGTCAAAACGCTCTCTTTGACACCTTAAATTCTCCTCCCTGCACATCCTCTCATGTCCCACCAGAGCTGACTACCAGCGTTCTATCCTGCTGCCAAAAGCAAGTTTGTGCTACGTGTTTTCCCTCCCTTCAGGAAACCTTTTCCCCCTGTTATAAGGTGCTTCCTGACATGAAACGGGGGGGTGAATCCTTCAGTGTCAACAACCCAATAGCACCAGAATGAAAGGTAGAAAGAGATTGTGCATTGAAACAGGTATGAAAACAAGGTGGTTATTAAGCAGCATACCTGTTTAGAAGTGAGTTTTATCAAGGATCCTTCGTAGCCCTGGTATAAAAAAGGGAAAAAGAGATTAGAGAACATGCATCTGAGCCCAAATATGCTGATATTTAACACAAATTTGGTTATTTTTGCATGTAAACATCATGGATGACTAAATGAGGCTCTGATTGGCTTGTGGAGCTCTTACAAAGAACAGATGGATTAGATTGTTGTGTTTTAGCAGAATAATCAAGACTTACTGCTTTCAACACTCAAGACATAAACCATTTACCCAGAGCACATACCATAAGCATCGTCTAAGAGAGGGATTACATGCTTTGCAATTATTCATCGTTCACTTTAACAGCACCGCTCTGGAGCCATTAAGATGCATTATTTTTTGGGCAACGGTCCAAAAACAAGCCTGAAAATCCACTTTCACTTTGCTGGACTGGAAATCTCAGACAATATGACCAAGTAAAACAAACAGTGTAGCTTTGTTTTTATATAGCAGTTTGTTTGTGTTTTTTCCCCCAAGAGAAACAACTTCCTGTGGCCCAGGATGGGACTGAGCCCTGGCTTTAAGAACACTGGAAGCTTGCGAGAGTTTCCATTGCCGTTTATTTTATCACCATTAATGGAGGTCTCATTGACTGCTGGATGGAAAGCGGCTAAGAATAGCCCACAGCCCATCAGCCTAAAACATACAAGCATACCTTAAATGGTCTGAAGAGGAGATACAGCTCCCGAGGTTTGATATCCAGTGGTAGCCCACTGACGAACAGCGTTCGGACCTGAGGAGGACAAAAGAGAGAGATCATTTATTTTTAATTTACCTCCGCGGTTATAATTAGCCACTCTACCTTTTTGACAGAGACTGATGAGGTAACGAATAAAAATAAGACATTGACCAAGAGTGAAACAGCTAAAGTGGGTTGGTTTTATGCTTAAAAACAGACTTTTTATGTGTTTCAGTTGAGCAAACACTCATTTCTAAAGCACTGTGTTCTCTTGTGTAAGCTACTACAACTTTCTGCCTTTTTGTGGCAGTTCTCTCCTTCGAGTTCTAGCCTCTGTTTTACATCTGAACTTTTCAACTTGCAGCTCGAGCCGGCATTGCTGGGGAATTTTAATGTACTGTACGCCTTAGCTACAGTGGACAACAGGAAAATGCGGCTGGGACTCAGAGGTACCATACCATACCAACTTTATTTATAAAGCACTTTTAAAAACGGCATGCAGCCGACCAAAGTGCTGTACAGATAAAAAGTTAAACACAACATAAAAACAAAAACACAATCAATAATAAAAGTACACAACAAAGCAGTAAAATCACAGTCAATAAAATAATACATAATAAAAATAATTAATAAAATTCAAAGGTTTAAAAATGCCTGGTCGTAAAAGTGGGCCTTAAGCCAGACATGTCCAATGTCCGGCCCCCAGGCCAATTGCGGCCCGTGGTCAAATTTTTACCGGCCCGTGGCCTCTATCATAAAACCAGTATATACACTGTTGACCACAGTACAAAATACATGTGTACAAAAAAGCTATTTTACTTTTCACCTTTGTTTCAGTGACTTGAAACGGGGGAGGGATGGTGCCAGCCTCACTGAGAGAGGAAGAGCATTCCAGAGGGACGGAGCAGCGTAGACAAAAGCACGCTGCCCCCGCAGGTAGTGCAGGGAAGCAATGGGGGGAAGACTGCAAGAGAGGTTTGGGGCTAAAGAAGGTGCTTTTATGTGGTGTGGTGTCTGCTGATGGAGAGAACGAGTTCATTCAAAACAAAAAAGAAACAGAAACACTCTGCCTCTTCTATATGATGGAGGAAACCTCACGTGATATAAAGCTCGAGATATTTTAAAATAAAGACACAATACACCTATAAACGCAGCTTTGGAAACTACAAGAACATGCTAACCCTTTGTGTATACAGCTTTCTCACTGCTTTCTTGTCATGTGCTCTATTAGACATCTTGTTATCTTTACTATATTTATGAGATGCATGAAAATATATTATAGAGGTTTTAAATATCTCCCTATATGCTTGGCATAACTGCTAAGACTAGTTAAATTGCTAGCTTGAGCATTCGGTAAGCTTCTTTAAAAACAAGGATAAAACCAAACCTAAACAAACTATAACAAGTCATTTAGATGTTATTTTAAAAAATCACTCCCAACATTCACCGCGGTTACATGCGCACTGACTGGCACCTAAGTTGATCCAGGTCGATCTTATGGTAAAAAGCTGGGAGTCTTTATCCGAGTGTAACATGCGCATTAGAAAACCGACCTTTCTAAAAAAAAGTTCCTTCCACTCCGGTACCGTAGGTGGCGACATTCCGGTCAGCTTACAGCAACACAAATAGTAAACAAACACTGGCAGGGATGAAGCAGATGGAATTGAAACAGCATATGTGCAATGGCCGAAGGAATGTACAACGCTGCAGCACAGCTTATTTGGTACCTACTGCACTGTTTGATGGTGTTGCGTGTGTTACTTTGTCGCAATGATATTATCAGAAGACCGCTTCAACGGTCTCGTCACTTCTGGAACGTGAGCATCCAACCGGTTCAGTTCAGCTGACACAGTTACAAGCTAAATGAATTTGGATTGCTACTACGTTATCTGGGTGTTTCAGCTTGATTAGAACCAATTAGCCTTCGGCCAGACTAACACGTTAACATACATTTTTAAAAAATGGCATGAGCATTTTAAGGGCAATTTTGTTTTCTGATGCGCATGAAAATGCACTGACGAGTTTTAAAATGCCCTTCTTATACTTAGTTAAGCTAAAATAGTTGAATTGCTCAGCTAAGTTGAGATGCTAGCCTAAGCATCAAATAAGCTGGAGACAGCAGTAGCTCAGGAGGTAATCGGAAGGTTGTAAGTTCGATTCCGGTTCCGACGAGAGAATGCTGTTTTCGTGTTCTTGGGCAAGACACTTAACCCGCCTTGCCTGCTGGTGGTGATCAATGGTACCAGCGTTCGGCAGCCTCGCCTCTGTCACTGCGCCCCAGAGCAGCTATGGCTACATCGTAGCTCATCCCCACCAGCATGTGAATGTGTGGATGACTAATTGTGTTGTGAAGGGCCTTGGAGGGTTGTGGAATCCTAAGAAGGTGCTATACAAATACACCATCTACTTATTAAAAAGCAAAGCCTGATACAAAGCATGACAAAATAATATTTTTTTAAATTACAAATTATACGAAGACACATCAAAAGACTCAAGCGCAAATACAAAATATTTGAAAGTGACCTTTTTGATGTGAGCCATTTCAAGCTCAGTTTAACTTAAACTCTGGGAAATATGTCAACAGAATTTCCTTTTAGGGTGGAATATCCTTGTAAACCGCTGTAGCTTCATTTTCATGCTAAGCAGCTGTGATAATTAGCTTAGCTTCAGGGAGAAAAAAGGAGTAAAATGCTAGCTTGAATCCACAATAAATAACACTGTAGCCTCACAGCAAACCTGCACCTTTTGAGTTTATTTTGACTGATGCAAAGTTCTGGGTTGATTACCGCCAGCACCGTTTGCCCATCCCCATGAAGATATGCGCCGTGTCTGAGAAGAGCAGGAAGTATACAGTTCTAATGACTAATGGCATTACACAGCAACTTTGGTCCAAACAAAGGCCTGCTCTGTTTGCTTTACTCCCAAGGACCAAATGACCATCATGCTCTGTCAGAGAAACTTGTGATTGAAATAGTAAATCATCTAGAAACTATTTCAGAAGTGCAGTAGATTTAGCTAAGACCCTTTATCTAATCAAGGACAACTCTGCAGTCTGTGCAGGTTTAATAAACATTAAAACTCATGTATTTTCTGTCAGATGAACTTCTGGATTTCTAAACTAACTATTTAAATGCTAACAATAACATTTGCCTCTTAGCTCTCCCAAAATTGTGAAAGAAAGCTTCATTTGTTTATGGCCTCTAAAATGATCGCATGCTGCACTTCATCGTGCCGCCCTGTTACTAGATCTAAACTTCAAACACTCCAATACACTTTACAGAATATAATAAGCTATTTAAAATATCTGCTTATAGTCTAACATATTCTATTGGTCAGACTGACTTGGCACATAGCTTTATTTCACTTAGCATTAGTAGACTTGCTATGTAGAGTACACCAAGAAGATTTAACGGTGACCACTGACCAGTATTTAAAAATCATGATCTCTGACCTGTGACTGCACCAAAGCTAAGCAGATACTTTGTTAACCTTTTCCACCTGAGGTGAAAAATACAGACACATTAGGGCTGGGCAATTGACCCAAACTCTAAATCATGGTACATTGAAGATTCACCTTAATAACGATAAATGGACGATAACTACATGTACCACTAGATGGTGGTCATGAGTATTACGTTGAGTCACGCTGTCATGTGACTTGAGGTGGTACAGCTCCTTAAAGTGACATGAATGTTGCTAACCAACACACATCTATTCATTTTTTTATTAACAAATTTATTGACATTTTTTGAAAAACGATATTGGTTAAGAGTCAAAAATTTTGATAATGATACATTTTTTAGTTATTGGCCAGCCCTAAGCCAAATGATCTGTTTCTAACATTGATAAATTATAGCTAGAAAAGGTTAAAACTCTTCCTGATTCACCTACGTTGAAGCTTCCACACAGGCAGTGCTAAATAATGCTCAAATTGGCTGAGACATTTACTTTAAAAGTTTTTAATTTCAATCTTGTTTGTACAAATACTCCTGTTTACTAATCAGAAAGAAATTACTTGTTGACTTTACCAGCTGTTTTATTATAAACATAATTATGTTTCTTTTTTTTTTTATTAACAAAATATTTTGCATTTAATTTTATTTCTTAGGATGGGCAGTGTGGAGCCCTGGGGACTCTAGCTCCGCCCCTGGTTGTCAGTGAACTGACTTACAATTGGGCTAAATAGCAATGACATTTGCTGTTTACTTCTTCAATACTTTTCTAATTTATTGCTTATTATAAATATATTCTAACTATGTACACCTTTTCTGTGATGGTGCCTGAGGTACTGTCAGTAACTAAATAATTATAGCAAGAACTGTTGTTGATGTCAATAAAAACCATCGTTTATTATTGTAGCTATAATTTTGGGATATTATTATTATTTGTGTATCGAATATCCTCCTTTCCAAAAATGTTTATCTTATTGTTTTCTTACAAACATTTTTTAGTTGACCATTCACCAACATGACTCATTTCTAAAACCATAACCCTCGAGTGGTAAAATGTCAGACCTTCCCAGACACCAGGATGTAAATAATGCCCCAACTCTACCAATTACATTTCTTAGAGAAATCCGATTGGGAGAAAATCTGAATCAGCTTCACAAACTAGGGAATTGAAAATTGGCCTTGAAAAATGTTATCGGTGCATTTTTAATGAAACTCTGAGGAGCGTCCACCCCTTTGTCATCCAACAGACAGGGCTAAAGAAAAGAGGGCCAGTGTGAACAGCAGCAGTTCTTTCAACACATGCAGACCCATTAACACATGCGGCGGCGCTCAGTAAACACAGACATAGCAGCACTACAAGAGCACAGGTGCTGAGAGGTCCGGTCGTACTTCTGAGTGCAGCTCTGGTTTCAATCTGCGGCCAGTCAAACAGGAAATTCTATTATCTGTATGTAATCGTAGATGTGTGTATCCTTAATAAAGGGTCAGCTAAGGACAGCTAGCATACATCCCTCACAATAAACAAAATGTGTGATTTCCATTTAAATTGTTTGAGTTTCAAAATAAGAAAAAGGAAAAATTCCTGAAACCCCATTACAGTCT